CACCACCATCATTAATAATGTCCACTAGTTCCTCATCCTCAGGATATTAGTACTGAGAACTGGCGAGGCTAAGATACAGATACCTCCTCAGAGATGCTGAGTGCCTTCTGTTCCCATAAGGCATAGGTAGGCAATAATTTTTGCAGGGGGGCCACTTAATGAATTTTGGTACACAGTCATGGGCCTGAGATGGAAGTGGCAGGGTTGCAGACTAGTCTCTCCTCAGAGTTGTGTGGGTCTGGAGGCTTTGAATTAAAAACACAGCAAAGGATTTGCAGCTCCTGGCCCCAGCACTACTGTGTTGCCTGGCAGCCGTGCGGGGTTGTCGCATCTGTTTGAAGAGCTCATGGCTCCGGCCTCTGCCAGGGAAGTGCTGTGACCATGAGCCAGAAGCTATTTAAATAGGATCCTGTTGCCTGAGCCACTGCCTGTAAATTGAGTGGTACAGGCAGCAGGCTGTAAATAGAAAGTGGCCAGATGCCATCCGCGGCCGGATCAAAGTGTTAGGTGGGCTGGATATGTCCCCTGGGTCGCATCTTGCCCAGCCCTCACCTGGGGCCACATCATGGGCTAGTTGTTTGAGGACCTTAGGATTTGGCCCTTTTACTTCAATAAGAATTGAGGGCACTAAACACTTTTCAATCTTGGATCTTAAGTCCTCTAGCTCCTGCTTATGTTTATCAACTTAGAATGTGTTTGCAACTGTAGTTGTTGGTTTTTTTTAATATATTGCTTATTATTTGTATTGCCATAGTACTTAGGAGCCCCAAACATGGACCATGACCTGAAAGATGGTTTCTTCCCCAGAGAGCTGAACTTCTATTGCTTCGTGTAGTCTGAGCAATTCTATTTGAAGGCTGAAGCATGATTCTTCTCTCACTCTGTGTAAATCAAGAACGGCTCCATTGGTATCATAGTCATGCCGATGTAGAGGAGAGGAAAATTGGACTCCCAGAGCTTTGCTGTTCAGCAGTGCTGCAAGCTTTAAAGTTCATTTGATGGTTTCATACGGAAACACATAACAAAAATCTTCTCAATGTCCGGACCCAGACCATTTGATGGGAGGTCTCATTTTCTTTTAATTACCGCGCCTGAAGCATCCGCACATTAACATAAGAACATAAGAACGGCCGTACTGGGTCAGACCAAAGGTCCATCTAGCCCAGTAGCCTGTCTACCAACAGTGGCCAGCACCAGGTGCCCCAGAGAGGGTGGACCGAAGACAATGATCAAGCGATTTGTCTCCTGCCATCCCTCTCCAGCCTCTGACAAACAGAGGCCAAGGACACCATTTTTTCCCCTGGCTAATAGCTACATGGAACTCATCTGTAGCAGTGCACAATTTTTATGATGGGCAAAGCAAGACCTTTTTATGAAAAAGTTTAAGTGATTAATCAAAACATGTTGCAAAGGAACTAGGACAGGGCTACTCAACTTTGGAAGCCCAGGGGCCACAATGATGCTCACAGCACATGCCGTGGGCCGCAACTTAAGCGAATGCAAATATATATGCAAATAGCTTCTTTTACACTGACGGGCATGAATACAAAGATTAAGCTTTATGCTGTGGGGGCTGGACCCCAAAGTGGCCAGTGTGAGCCAGTCAGCACCTCTCAGGCTCTGCCTACAAGGCTAAGCAACCAGCACTTTCCACAATGTCCCTGCGCTTTCAGCACCTCCTCCCTGGGGCTAGAAACTCCGACACCCTGTACCCGTCTGTTCCAGCCAGTCCATCCACTTGCATCTTTTAATGCTCACCCTGCCTGAGAGATGCCTCACTGTTGTGGAGTGTGTTTCCAGTGGAGGCCATGTTCAAAGGATCCCACTCATGGGCTGCGTGTTGAGCTCCATGTAAACCCAAACTGCATGCGGCCCACGGGCCGGCCGTGTGTTGAGTAGCCCTGAATTAGGATAAATAGTGTGACTCCATTGACTTCATTTCATTGACTGTCTTTGTAGTTTCCAGATGAAGTTTAATGTCACACTCTAAGGTGGTTCAGTGGCTAGAGTTCAGTGGCTTGGGGCAAGCCAATTTAAGAGATTCCTCTGTCCCATTGTGTTACTACACCCATTCTGAATAGCATTCCTGGATTAAGAGAGTAGGGATTGAAATCTTATAATGTCTGTTACCTGGCCATAGCTGGTTGTGAGAGTTCGGTGACGTAAGTCTAAATATTGTCAAGCCACTGGTAAGTATTTTTTTTATTCTCATACAAACTGAACTAAACACAGTAATGATCAGGAATTAATTATGTTAATTTAAGATTACACAAAACTGTATGGGATTTTAGAGAGATCTAACAAAGCTTGGATAAATATAAGATGGAAATGGAATATGAAAATAAATGGAAGATGAAAATTAGTTTTAACAGATGGAAGGCGATGCACATTGGAAGAAATAAGTTGAATTACCCATAAACCCTGTTGGGTTTTATATGAATATAACCATTTGGCAAAAAAAAAAAAAGAAGAAGAAAGAAAGTTGATTGATGCTGTAGACAGCGCAGTAAAAACATTTCAATATGCAGTGGTATTCAAAAGCATACAATATGATTGTGCTAGGAATAGGTAAAAAGAAACAGGAAACTAAATAATTAGAGGCACTGAAAAATGCCTTTATGAGAAAGCAGTGAAATATTGGGATTGTTCAGTTTAGAGACAAAATGTATAATAGGGGCATGATGGAAGTACAAAAATTAATAACAAAAGGTCAGTTGGTGTTCCTATGGACTGATTTTCATAATAGGAGGAGAAGGGAACAGTTTGTGGACTTTAAAGTGAACAAATTGAAAACTTTAAAGAGGAAATAATTTATTACACAACATATAATCTGTGGGGCTCATTTCCATAAGATCTTGCCTCCTAATATTTCTTGATCATTGTGGTAAATACACACTGTCCTTTCTGTCATGTAGGTCCATAACCTGGTCATCATCTTCAACTTGGTCCTCTCTCTAGATCCTCGCACCCATGCTAAATTGTGTGTTCACCTACACATCTATAGCTCTTATCCAGGCTGTCATCCTATCCTATCTTAATTACAGCAACATCCTTTTTCTCCAGCCGTGACAAATCCAATCTCGTCCTGCTTATATCCATTCAAAATACTGCTGTAAAAGATCTTATTAGTAGCTTGTTGCTTTTACTGTGTCACCACTCTCTTTGCCTCTCTCCCCTTGCTCTTTTTTTTCTACCACATCAAGCATAATGTAGTTGTGTTCACTTACAAAGCCCTTTATGGCATAGCCCTATTCTGCCTATCATTTCCCATTTGCTATCAAAATGCCAACCGCCTCTTGGGATCAACCAAAGATGCCAGCCATACTGGGTCAGACCAAAGGTCCATCTTCCAACAGTGGCCAATGCCCGATGCCGCAGAAGGAGTGAATAAAACAGGGATTCATCAAGTGATCCCTCTCTTGTCATCCATGTCCAGCCTCTGACAGGCTAGGAACACTATTCCTACCCATCCTGGCTAATAGCCATCGATGGATCGAACCTCCATGAATTCATCTAGTTCTTTTTTGAAACCTGTTAAAGTCCTGGTCTTCACAACATCCTCTAGCAAGGAGTTCCACAGGGTTGCTGTGTGAAGAAACCTCAGTGGGCAAAGGCTTCCCCAGCCGACAGATCTGTGTCTAGACTGCCGTGCTGTGCCGGATCAGCTGATCGTCAGTACAGTGTGGCGGCCATGTTTATTTTAATGAAGCGGGGATTATTTAAATAAGTGTGCATACAAGAAGTGGATCAACACAGATCCAAACCGTTATCCACCACGTTTAATTCGAAAACTTTAGGAACAAAAAATGAACTTGAAATATTGCCGCAAACGGTGGGGTTAGTTATCATTTATATTTTAGTGGGAGATCAACAAGGTGATGAAGTCCATTTGTTCATTTGTGTTACTGTGTCATCTAGGAGCTCTGCTCATGGGCCCCGTTGTGCTACATATTTTGCAGGGGTGCGATGGGGTGTATGCTGAGCGTTAAAGAACAGCTCTGGGTCCAGAAGGCCCTGCCCAGCCACAACCATGCTCACAATGGAGGCAGGTCTCAAAAGGGACAAACAGTCCGCTGCTCATTCTGCGTACACAATGGGAGTTGTGGGAAGGGGTAGCCCAACCCGTGCTGCTTCCTGCAGTGGCTGGGAATGGTGAACTGCTGCCAACAAGAGCTGTGAGTGGCCGTACCTGTCAACGTACAGGTAAATAAAGCATTGGGTGGCCCACCAAGGGCTAACCCTAGCGAACTGAATCTGACCCATGAGCTGCTTATTGCGCACCCCTAGATTAAACTGACACCAAAGGAAGCTCTGTTGCCATGTGCTTATTAAGGAATAGCTCTAACGATGGGTAAGGTAATGGTGGGCCAATGAAGAATCCTATTCGAAGAGACTGTTTCCTTCAATTCTTTTTTGGGAAGTGTGCCAAATTCTTATTCACATGCTGCTAGCCCTTACAACTGTCTGGTTTTAGTTATTGCTACCTGTGTGTACAGTTACAGGATCCAGTCTTGCAGTGGTCAAATCAGCAAGGCAGCTGGACCATCTTCTGTTCAGAGGGGTTGTGTTCTGTAGCTTTTCCAATACAAACATACAGCTGTTAGAAAAATTCTACCACAGAACATTAGCACATGCAGTACAGTAACAAACAAAAACCTCAGCATCTTCATTTCCCCTGATCCTTTTTTATTTTTAAAGGAGAGTAAATAAACTCTTCGGTTCTAAAGTTTGGCTGCTTTAAATGCTGAATTAATTTACACACAGATTGGAGCTTTCAGTGTGAGGAGATTTTTTTTTCTGGCATAAGCACTCAGATGAAACAACAGCTATGACTCAGTTGCCAGTGAATTCTGCCTGAATTGATTCAGTCCGAGTTCAGACTTAGCACATAATCATGTTCAATTTGATCCACTGCGCTGCCCGGAGATAAAAGGGTTGAAAAAAATAGATGTAGCTTATGTCAGTCTTTGCGGTGATGTCATTGCCAGGAGAGATGGAATAGCGCTGTTACTAGGCTGTGCCTGCTCGGCTGGTGGGTGCACTAGGCAGAAGCGAGGAGTGACTCAGTTCGGTGCAAAGAGTGTTTCAGAGGCTTACGGCTGTCGACAGCCCTGAAAAGCAGAATTTTGGACTGTTCACTAGCCGTACTCAATCGGAGGCTTTCGAATCATTCATAACTCTGAGGTTGCCTAACTCTTTGTGTACAAGAGGGGGGGATGCCAGCCCGTAGCATGGACTGTGATGTCTCCACTCTGGTTGCCTGTGTGGTGGATGTGGAGGTTTTTACCAATCAAGAAGTTAAGGTATGCACCTGCAATCCATTTGTTACAGCCGCTTCTTGTAAAAGCCTTGAGCGCAGTAAGAGTTGGGGGAGAGCAGTTTCAAAGAAGCAGGCTGATAGAATTCTAGTAAAAGCACATGCCGTGCATGGATATCTTAATTATAGCAAGTGAGAGAGACTGATGATTGCTTTTCATTAGGTTTTGATATGCTGACAGAACAGCCTTCTGTTGACCATTTAGTGATAGAGGAAATGTGTTGCATAACTGAAGTCTGTGAATGTTTCACCTTGATTAAAAAAATGACTTCTTTTTTAATTTCTCAAAGGTATTTTTAATCCAGTGTCACTTTCCTAGCTCTGAGCTGTCATAAATACCAGTTTCTGCTTGATGCTTTAGGAAGGGAAACAATACATTTGTTTGTGTCTTAGCTTTATGGCTCGTTTCCCTCCCTCCCCCCACAATTGAATAACAGCAATTACTGTGGTCTTCATGATTCCTTCTTTTTACAATTAAATCAAGTATTACATTTTATTAAGGGGTTAAAGTGGAGCAAGCATTTTTTGGTGCATCTGCAATGTAGCTGTATGTAAAAAGCTGGGCAACTTAGGTATAATATGAATGAATTGAAACCAGTGCTTGATTCATTCTGAAGCTTAATATGCTACACTTGTCATCCTCGGTTTTCTGCAGCAGTTGTCAAATACTCATGGGTAATTGCTCCCTGATGAAACCAATTATCTTTTTCATTTATTCTTATATTACCAAAAGAGAATCCCGACAAATTAAGTTTTGAAAAAGGAATTGTAAATGTATCTTTAAAAATCATCTCAAAGATCTCAGCGGTAAAAAGCATGCAGATGCATCTTATTTAGAGAACATAGATACAAACAACTGAACAGGGTGCACTATCCGAGAGGAGGATAAAAGCAGGGTTTGTGCTAATTTAGGACAGGAATCAGAACTCATTCCTCTAAGTACCCATGTGAATAGTCCCATGAAAATAAATGGGACATATTTGCGTGAGTAACGGTTCAGTGTAAGTAAGGATTGAGAATTTTGTTGTTAGTCATTTTCTAGCAGACTGTGTGCTCTTTATTTAACACTGTATTGCTCTGTTAATGCATGGTCAAGTGGAACTATGTGCACTTTTCACAAGTTCTCATGTGTTAATAGGAGGAAGCTGTTTAGTTTAAGAGGCTATCTCTCTCTCTCTCTCTTTTTTTAAACACAATAGCTTTAATACCATTTGTAAACAGATTCAAAAAGTCTAGTTGCTGGTGTGTATTTCAGGAATGCTTGACAATATTCATGCCAGCACTGGCGTGATTCCTGTACTTGAAGTGGTGCAATGTATATGGAATTGTTTGATTGTGCTTATGCTTGTTCATCTAAAAACATCATAGTGCTGAGGTGTGGAATTTTAAGAAATAGTCACAGGAACTGACAACAGAGCGAAGAATGCCTTTTGACATCTTTCCAAGTGTTATGCTGAATACAGAGTATGCAGTAAAAAGATGGTGCAATTTTAGAGCATATTTGTACTACAGTAATGACAGAGCCCAATGCAGCTTCCATGAAAGTCAATTAAAAGACTCCTACTGACTTCAGTAACAGTTGGATTATACTCCGCATGGGTAGTGTCATGCAGGAAGGCAGGCTGAGGAATGTGGAGTGAAAGAGAGCAAACGTAACAGAGATGTTGACGGAATAGGCGTATGGATCCACAATTCAGCGATTGAGAAAAGGGATTATGAATCATGCTGTTCAGATGCAGGGGGTTTTGTTTGCCTTTGTTAATAAGTTCTTTAAGTTAAACATCTAAATAAAGAGTAGGGAGAAAAGACTGTTAAAAAAATTAACATTCCTGATCCTAACAAGGTTGGTGACAGCTATTGCTTCTGCTCTTTGGTTCTCCAAGGAAACTCCCAGCAAAACCAGGGCAGACTGGTTTCTGAGTTCTGTGAGGGACCTCACTATTGCTTTTGATTTGTACAAAGAAGGTTCTAAGACACTACAGTGATGGGCATTAGGATAAAACTCAACAAATAGATAGGACTTGACATTGATTTTTTTACCACAGAAATAGTGGACTTTTGGGGCAGATGAGCATGGGAATTCGAGGGGAGGGAGAGCAATACAGTCACAACACTCTTTTTCCAATGCCATTAATGCCTCAAAGTTGACCTGCAAAGAAGGAAACTGAATTTCTATTTTCCTGTGGTTCAAGATATTGCTCTGTAAGATTGCCTGCTTCTGTACTGTTTACCTGACCCCTGGACTTCAGGGAACTATCTCTTTCAGTGTCTGAAAGGCACATTATCTCAATAATAATGGGAACATACGTATGTGGTAGTTCATTAGGTTTTGCAGTATGGGCCATAAGTCATTTAGGAGTCAGTCTTCCACAGCAGCAAGGAGACTTTTAGCCATAAGACTCCAGTTACATGCAATGGACGTTGGGTGGTGTCAACTGAGCTCTTCTCATTTCATTGAAACCACAGTTATAGAGTTGAAATGAGGCCCCAGAGAGTCATGGTGAATAGACTAAGCTGTTCAACCACAGGGTTAAATCACATGTCCACTTTATCTTGCATGAATTGGGCCTTTGAATAATAAATATGGCTGTTCAGAGAGGACGTTAGGTTAATGCAAATGTTAATGGTTCTTAAATATCAAGGAGAAACACCCCAGATGGATTCAGAGACAGATAAAATAGGTAAATGCAAATAATAGACATGGAAACGTCAGACTAATTTCCACTCAGGAAGTTACGTAGCTCAGTTGTATAATGAGAATTCTACTTTATTTTAATACCTCGAGGTTGTAATTTTATTGTAAAGCAAGAAAATATGTTTATTAATGAAAATTGTATTTATTTCGAGAAGGGATACTCAGACATCAGTGAATAAGGGAGAGAGAGAGAGTAGTATAAAAATGAGGGAGACTTTTAAGTTACAAATAGGAGATTCTTAGACTGCATCCTCTTCAGGGCTGAGAATCTCTACACTTCATTTTCGTATAGCACCTAGCATTTTGGGGTCCGAGCCCTGATTGAAGTGTCTAGGCTCCACACAATGCAAATACTAAATATTATTGAAAAAGGATTGTGAGGTAACTGAATGCACTGCAGATATGGTACAGTGTGGCATATGGAAGGTATCTCACTGTTAAGAGAAAGTTGTGGTGTATATGCAGAATAGGCAATGTTTTGCTTTAACCAATAGCGTGCACTTCGATGAAGCACAAAAGAGCCATGCAGCAGTGGGAGAACTATTCTTACTGGCTATCGGGACTTTGAGCTAATGTACATTGGAGCCAGATGTGCTATCTGCATTTAGACAAGGTGCAGTAGGTATATTCCTACCCCAGCTTCACTGTTGAATGTACATTTGGAGGGGTTCTGGTCATAGTTCTGCTCTTTCCTTGATGCTCTCCCTTTGGAAAGTGTAGTCACTGCTTCTAGATTTGTGACGTTCACATTCACAATGGCAGTAGTGGTTGTCCCCTGAGAATGGTCTCTTCGGCAGTCTTGAGCAAGTCACTTAATTTCTCTCTACCACACTTTCTCCCATGGTGAAACTGGCTAACTCACTAAAATATTGGGAAGCTTAATTTTTTTTAAAGACAGACAATGAAAGGCATTTTAGAAGGGCACAGTATTAACTGCTTTTTTTCATATTGCCAGCCTCAGACATCAGAAAAAATCATGAGGTGATCTTAAAAAGCATGAGATTATTATTTAATAATATATTTTGAGTCTATTATTTATCTTCTGGTTCTTGAGCCTTTAGAGTTCATGTTTTCAGATTTTTCTCCACAGTCATGGGGATTGTGTTTTTGCAAGCATATCTGAGATGGTCACATAATCTCATGATTCCAGGGGGTGGCATTTTAAGAAAAATACCAAATAACATAAGAACTGCAATAAAATGATAACTGGCAACACTGTAATTTATAATTGCTCTCTAGAGTGCTTTTATGTCTGATAGCTGCTTCGACTTGGCAGAAGTTTAAGAAATCAGGCAGAAATATAATTACTACATGGAAATCATCTGTGAATTGAACCCAAGTGCAGTAGCTCAAGTTGAAGAAATGTGAAATGCTTGTTAACTGTTCCTGTGTACTACTTGATTAAGTAGAATACATAACAAAGGTGTATGTGAGGGGAGAGTCTCTTTCTTCTGACTTGGAAAGCAGTCGATGTGTATATTAGTTCATGTTTTAAAAGCAGGATCGCTTTGGCTTCGGAGAGAGAGGATATGGAGATTACATTTGAACATACAAGTAAGATGCTAGATTTCAACATAAACTAAGAAAACTTAAAAAACAGCCATGGTCCAAATCTCCTTTTGATAATTCTTGGCCCTGCCAAGCATGAATTTCCCCCTGATTTATTTAATATCTCATTTCAATTGTCATAATTTTCAGTTTCTATTGCTTGCTGTCTGGTTTCCCTTTTTCCCATTTGTTAAATATTTTATCCCCTACTATCTGCTGCTTTCCTTTCACCACTAAACTCTGGTTTTCTCCAAAATTGTCTGTTTCCTCACATTTGGAATCTTGGATTTGTAACAATCCAATACGATTTTCTTCAGTAACTCTTAATTTGTATTCACATTTCTCTATATAATTTTTTCCTCCCAGTCGTGTTTGATGATAATTTGTCAGATTTTTGGAATTAGCTGTTGGAAGGGCTAAGTGTTTATAGGGTAGCAGGTTTAAAACTAATAAAAGAAAGTTCTTCTTCACACAGCGTGTAGTCAACCTGTGGAACTCCTTGCCAGAGGAGGCTGTGAAGGCTAGGACTATAATAGAGTTTAAAGAGAAGCTAGATAATTTCATGGAGGTTAGGTCCATAAAAGGCTATTAGCCAGGGGATAAAATGGTGTCCTTGGCCTCTGTTTGTCAGAGGCTGGAGAGAGATGGCAGGAGACAAATCGCTTGATCATTGTCTTCGGTCCACGCTCTCTGGGGCACCTGGTGCTGGCCACTGTCAGCAGACAGGATACTGGGCGGAAGGA